GTTTTTTGCTAGAAATAAAAGTTTTTAATGTTTCAGCTGGTTGGCTTGGTTCATGACTTATGAGGATTTAACAAAGACTTTTAAATAAATCCTTATGGGGAAAATGAATGGGAAAAATACTTTCAGAACCAGTGCTGCTAAAAATGTTGGCAGGCACTATTGCACTATAGTTTACAGTTTATATAGTTTATGGCAAAAATGTAACCCTTTGAGAGCACTTTGTCTTTAAGAGGGCATGTCAAAGAGATGCCATGTGCAAGCAATGTGCATTTTTTCTTGTTTTTAACAATGTTGTATAGATTTATGATATCAGCCGTGCTTCAGCCATGTGAAAATAGTTATCAGTATATCATATTGTGCAGAATTTCAGTATCTGTGCATGAAACCTATGTAAATTTTATACATGAGGCCCGTGATCTGTGCTGTCAGAGATTTTACACAACAGTGTACTAAGAATGTGGTGGTTCCACATTAAATCCGTTTGACTGACATTTACACCAATTCATCACTTCCGAATCACACTGCTTTGCTTTCTGTCACTGTACCATGAATTAGCAAAACGCTAGAACATCATAACAACCTGGAGTCTCTACATGTTCAGTAACATCACCTCCTCAAGCATGTAGCCAAAAACCTAGTAAAGCTAAGCCTGACCTAATATTTGATCATAATTTCTTTTTTTGTTTTGTTTTTAAGCTGTGACAAACAAAACAATCAAACCCTCATTCGTGTTTACACCAGGTATGAACCAACACATCTCACCAGGAGAGACAAACCTGCTCACTCGCTTTCACGGCCTTTCCCTTTAATAACTTTTCCACACCATTCCTCCCTAAAGACCTGCGTCAAGGGACACGGTCTAAGCAGTGGCATTTCTCACGTTAAAATGTCTTCTAATACTATTTGTGGGTCAGGAGATGCGTACGAGAGGTTTGGCACAAAAACAGAAGACGAGAGCGCACTTTTGGTTTCCATAATGTGGTCTTGCTTCTTCGACCTCCGCGGCTTTTCTTCTGCATGTCCGAATAGCTTCCGTCTGTTTTTAGTTATTTATTTTTTTGTCTGATTCGCTTGTTGCATGTGTGACTTTGTGCTACACTCTTGTACGGTCGTTCTGACTCTATGATTTTGTTGTTGTTGTTTCATTTGAAACTCATGTCTGTCTTTTTTGATTCATTTGAATCGTGTTTTTTATGTAATTGTAATTCACAGTTTTGGTATTTTGATAGGAGCTTGTGTAATATTCAAACAGCTGTTTTCAAGTAAGTAAATATACTGGTGGGAGGCTGTTTTATTATTTGTTTATTGACTTATTTCAACGTGGACTACTTTTTTACTGCACATGAACTACAATCAGTAATGACTGACATGTTGGAGGCTGCCATTACTCAGTAAAAGTTTCTGCGTCCCCCTCCTTCTCCCTCTCCATGCAAATACACGCGCACACACAGCCAGAGTTTGATGAAAAGGCCTATTGAATGACTTTTTAGCAGATGTGACTTTAGCGCTTTGGCCAGCCTCGTTGAAGTCCCTCTGATTTCCTCTCCATTCTGTCCTGGGCTGAAGCTCATGCTTGTCTTTCTTCCATGCGTCCTCCTTTGCTCCTAGCCATCTGAATACTAATGCATAAGTCCCTCTGGCATGGCGATGCATGGTCTGTTCCCTGTCCTCCCCTTTCCCCCCATCCATCGGCAGTGTGTGTATGTCTGTCTCTTTGTCCCCCTGTATCCAGGCCTGTAACCTGCTGTATGTTGTGTTTGCTAACAAATCTCTTGAGGACTTGTGTGTTGATGCCTTCTAGGAGATGTGAGAGTGAGAAGTCAGGTAGGCTTTGAACCTGAACGAAGAGGCTCGCACCCGTACCTGGGCGTCGATTTCCGCACTTTGCACTGTAAGTACCCAAATTAGCACTCGCACACATTCCTAGCTCTGTGCAACAGGGAAGCTTTGTTCCGGAGGTATTTTATCATGGGTATTGAATATGTTTAAAGCTTTGAACCAAATCGACCAACTCTGATATGAATTCTTAGAGTATTTGATTCAACTTTTGAAAATCAAAAATTAGACAATTTCGGGATGAGCTAGGGAATTAATCAGTTTGGCTCATTTTAATGTATTTTCTTTTTTGAAAACATCACTACTGTCTTTTATGCTGTAAATGTGTGGTCACAGTAGCGAAATTTAGACAAAAGTCACTTTCAAACCTGTCAAAGTGGCAAATTCACTTAAACACGAGTGAAATCTGCACAAGGACATTTTCTGCAGTTACTCAAAACTCCCAATCCCGCTGATTCCTATTGAAATTAAATGGATTTTACCCACAAAATATAAAGGGGTTAATGATCCAAAAATTACAATTGTCATAATTTACTCAGTACCACAAAAATATCACCAACCAAAATGTTTCAAACCTGTTTAAGTTTCTTTCTTCTCTTGAACACAGTATAAGATATTTTGAAGAATGTTGGTAGCCAAACATTTGACGGTAGCCATTGACTTCCATAGTAGTAGTATTTTTTTCATTACAGTGGCTACCGTCAACTAAACTAGTTTGCGAGAACTTTAAGATGAATAAAAACATTGTAGGTAGTTATGTTTTAAAAGGTTTATTTTTTAAATTTTTTTTACATGTACTAAAAATTAATTTCGTCCGAGAATTTAAATGGGATTTTTGCTTCTGGAGGACTGGGAGTGTCACTTAAATAAGTAATAAGAGTTCAATTATAAATGTAGTAATTTAGAAATAAATATGAAATTCTTTAATTCATGTTTAATTTATTTAACTACATATTAAACATGAATTAAATGTTTTTTTTTATTTGTCAGTTTGAATGTAATGTCTATTTAAATTTTTATTATTTAAAAAAAAATCATCATAAAGTTGTTGTTTTTTAAGTGGCGCTTCTCATTCACCCTTATGTTTGTTATCCCGTTAATATATTCTAACCTAATTATATTAAAGACGTTTTCCCCAATTTTCATAGTCTCTCTGTCTGTGTTGATCTACCAATGTGGGCGAGCTGAATTCAGGAGAACGTACATTTAGCACATGAAAAGATTTATTGCTCTTTTGTTGTGGTGAAATGAAACTCTGTTTTAAAGACTCTCTCCGGACTGGTTTTGTCTTTTGTGCTTCAGTCAGGCATGACCTCGTAGGCTGCCTGAGCACCACAATTGCAACGATAGCAACCGAAGTTTTAAACAGCAGTGGCTCCAGTCAGTGGGGCTGGGGGTGGATTTGGACGAGAACGAAAGCCAAAGACACGAAAAGCTTCAAATTTGAAAGCAATTTCAGCTTAATTGTTGAGGATGTTAATTTTAAATGGCATTTTGCATCATGGAATTTCCATGTCCTCTTTCTCATGTGTGTGTTTGTGCTCAGCCCGTGCTGAGTCAGCAGGGTCGATTCCAGCTCGGAGGATCCGGAGGCTCTTTAGTTTCCAGCGACACCTGCTTTCGTCCCGTCTGCTGCGAGGAGCGCCACACCTCAACCCCCTCCACATCCTGGACGAGGACTACTGCGGTCAGGCCAAGGTATGGCACCACAAACACACATTGTGGTAAAACCTTGGTGACTTTAGTTTGTATTGACTATTCAACATTTGCGGTATGAATACATACATAACATATGCAGTTATTGATTTTTCATCTGTTCTCACTGTCATTTTCTCACAGTGTATGCTTGAAAAGGTTGGAAGCTGGAATTTTGATATATTCCTCTTTGACAGACTTACAAATGGTAAATATTATAATTCTGACGAACCTTCTTATTTCTGCGTGTGAATGTGTGAGATTTGTTGTACTTTACCTTCACTTTATTAAGCCACATTGTATATGTACACTTCTCATTCAGTTGTGGTCAACTCTGCCACCTGCTGGTTGCATCATGGCTGTGCAAAATTGAGGATGAAGCTTTGCCTAGCCAAATTCATCCTTCCTCTTATATTCTTTGTTGTTTTGAAGGAAACAGTCTTGTCTTCTTGACATTTAATTTGCTGAACCAGTATGGCCTCATCGAGCTCTTCCAGTTAGACATGGTTAAACTGCGTCGATTTCTAGGTAAGTGTTTTTCATGTTTATTGCTGAAACTAACAATGAATTTTTCTTTTATTAATAGTATTTTAAAAGCATAGTTTAATTTGATTAAATACATTTGATTAAAACAATGCAAAAATGCAAAATGTATGAAATATAAATGTATGAATGTATATGAACTTAATTTGAACATTATTTCACATTCACACTATTATAATTAATTTATAGTTACTGTTTTACAAAAACAAATGTCATGTAACGTTTCAGTGAAATTTAATTCATTTCAAACCTCAAATATTTAACAACAAAAGAACATATTCAAAATATGTTAGTATTTTTTTTATTTATTAGTCCAGATTTACTGACATTATTATAATATACTAAATATTATTATTATTATTATTATCTGTTGGCTTGCTTTTAGGATGTATTTAGCTTTTATGCAAAAATTTAACATTCTTATTTACAAGAATTTGTAACATTTACAAGAAGTATAAATTTCACCATGAACATATTAATAAATTGTAAAAGTTGCTTGGAAAGCCATCTGAACTACCTTAAACAGCAAGCATTAAAATGACTCGATGCCCTCCTGAAACTATTAACTATGAGTTGCAACATCTGATCAACTCATCTGATTTATTTTTATTATTATTCAAATATATTTATTCTAATTCTAAAGTGTATTTTTCAATTCTGTAAACATGACAGATGGCGGTTCTGCATGCCACAGTGCACTGATCCAACTAACTGAGAATGAAATTAGGTGTTGATTGTCATCATATATTTAAATGATTATCTGCAGCCCTAATATACTGACTGTACTAATCTTGCTGAATTACTTTAAATGTTGTACACTTGGTTTCAGTTCTGGTTCAAGAAGACTACCACAATCAGAACCCTTACCATAATGCAGTCCATGCTGCTGATGTCACCCAGGCCATGCACTGTTACCTGAGAGAACCCAAGGTGATTGTCCCTTTATTAAATGTACCGTAATTGACTTTTAATGATTACGTGTAGACTTACAGTCGTCTCTTTGTGTGTGTGTATCGACAGCTCGCCCAGTCCCTCACATCATTCGACATCCTCTTAGGGTTGCTGGCTGCGGCCACACACGATCTGGACCACCCTGGAGTCAACCAGCCTTTCCTCATCAAAACCAACCATTACCTTGCAGCTTTGTACCGGGTTAGAGTGCAATCCAATGGGATTTAAGCACATCATTAGCTCCACAATCCTCTTTATGTTCTGAGTAAATTACTGTATTCGTAAACACGTCAAAGTCAATCGGCACTGGTGTATGTGTGTCGCTCTGTAGAATACCTCAGTTCTGGAGAACCATCACTGGAGGTCTGCAGTGGGACTGCTCAGAGAGACCGAACTCTTTTCCCATCTTCCTGTGGAAGACAGGTCAGTCTCTTCACTTCTTTTTAGCCTAAAGTTCTTTGTTAATATGTTACGGCTTATTATTCTACAAGCAAGTAATTTTTTAAAATTATTATTTGTTTATTTTAATTTCTTATTTAATTATCATTTTTTTTACTTTATTATTGTTATTATTATATTCTTTATTGACTCACTTTTAGGATGGACTTTTTTGCCAAATGGAAATACTTATTTATACATAATTTATAAGAATTATACATTTTATAATCGTTTTATTACAATTATTAATTCTTATCTATAACAATTATTGTTTTTCGACTCCATTTTGCAAAATTGAAATACTTATTTGCATGAATTTATTACACTTACAAGAATGATAAATGTTCTAATCAATTTATAAAAAGTAAAATAAAGGGGGAAGTTGTGGCCTAATGGTTAGAGAGTCGGACTCGTAAGCCAAAGGTTGCAGGTTCGAGTCTCGTACCGGCAGGGATTGTAGGTGGGGGGAGTGAATGTACAGCACTCTCTCCCACCTTCAATACCACGACTGAGGTGCCCTTGAGCAAGGCAACAAACCCCCAACTGCCCCCCGGGCGCCGCAGCAAAAAATGGCTGCCCACTGCTCCGGGTGTGTGTTCACTGCTGTGTGTGTGCACTTTGGATGGGATAAATGCAGAGCACTAATTCCTAGTATGGGTCGCCACATGTCACTTCAGGTTTTTTTTTTATAAAGGTACTTTTTTTCCTGCTGTCTCTTTAAGACTTCTCTATGTAAATGACCTCTGTTATGATAGACTGACTTTAATTGGTGTCTCTAACAGTCTGAGTATAGAGAGGCAGCTGGGGTCGCTTATTCTGGCCACAGATATCAGCCGACAGAATGAGTACCTGTCCCGATTCAGGACACATCTGGATGAGAACGACTTGTGTTTAGGACACGCTTCTCATCGACATTTCGTTCTGCAGGTGGGAATGTGCAATTCAGTATTAATTTCACTAAAAACAAACATTATGCAGTTTACATAAAGTTTTATATACAGATTATATGCCAGCTTTGACTTAAAATAAAATACAAATAAAATAATACATTTGATGTTTGCTTTAAAAAGAAGAGGGAAAATAATTTAAAAATTATAGATAACAAATTAGTGAAATTTATTAAAATATATAATTTTATTTTGTTTTGGTCACTATAATGCTGACTTTAATGTACTTGAAATTTGCGATGTCCCGTTTTTAAGTGGAAGGGCTGCATACCATATTTTTGAATAAAGACAGACACTTTTGGGCTCTTAAAACCAAATTGACGTGTGTTCCAGATGGCTCTGAAGTGTGCAGATATCTGTAACCCGTGTAGACCGTGGGAACTCAGCAAACAGTGGAGTGAGAAGGTCACAGAAGAGTTCTTCCACCAAGGTAGCCGGTTCTCACGATGACCATGCTCTCTCCGTGTGCTCTTCGTTCACTGTGTTCAGAAGCTAATCTTTGTGCTCTGTTGTCGTCTTTTTCAGGTGACATTGAAAAGAAGCATAAACTTGAAATCAGTCCACTGTGTGATAGTGAAGCCAACACCATAGCCAGTGTTCAAATCGGTAAGAACCAGAACATTCTCATTTATGAGCTCACCCTGAATATGGGAGGAAAAGAATAATAGTAAAAATAATATTACGTATTGTATGTATATTGATTTAAGGCAAGACACTACAGTTTTTTTCAGACACTGGTAAGTCTTCAGATTTTGAGGTATTTTGGTTCAATAATCTTATCTTCTTTCAGACTAGCAGAAAGAAAATATCCAAAATACAGATTTAAGTGTTTGATATATTTGCCAGTTTTATTCTTATTTATGTTCTGAAGGTTTTTACAGAAGGGTTTGTTCATATATCGATTGATTGATTGATTTCATTCCTAAAAACATGGTGAATTTTCTGGCTGTTGACAGTATTTTTTATTTATAGAGGAAAAAAAAGAGGTCCAAAATTTGGAATTCAATATTAAATTCAGTAAATAAATTAAATTCCTTTTCTGGAAAAATATTCAACTTTAATGTGTCAACAAAAGGTATTCAATGAGTGCATATCGGCTTTAAGATATCGGCCAAATTTTCTTATCAGGCCGATACCGATAACAGAAAAAATGAGCCGATATGGGCCGATACCGATATGGTGGCCGATATATCGTGCATCCCTACTATATATATATATATATATATATATACATATACAGTGTTTGTCTTTTTTGTTGTTTATATGTGCATGTATAAAATATAATAATGTAATAATTATAATTAAAGTACATTTTATTTTTGATTTACCTCTTAAATTCAATAAAATCCCTTCTGTAAAACCTTTAACTCTAATATGTCAACAAAATGAACTTTGAACCTGTCTTCAGATTTCTGTTCTGGAAATGCATGCAAATGAGTGCATATTTAATTAGCTAAAACAAAATTTCAGTCACTTGTAATACTGGACTGTAATTGTACTGTGATTAATAACTGATTAAATGTAGTGTCTTGCCTTTTTTATTCAATTTTAATAAAAATATATAATGTATAATATCAAATATATAAATAGTATATATAATACAGTGATATAATATTACTACAACATAAATATCATATTTAAATAGTGTCTTTTTATATCTATACTTTTTGTATTTGTTTTTTTTATATAATATAATGTAATATGTAATAATGATATTATAATTATCATTAAAATGAATTATTATTAGAAGGTCTGGCTGATGTAATGTCTCTTTCTCTGCCACCAGGTTTCATGACTTACGTGGTGGAGCCTCTGTTTGCCGAGTGGGCGCGCTTTTCAGACACGCGGCTCTCTCAGACCATGCTCGGCCATTTGGGCCTGAACAAGGCCAGCTGGAGTGCCCTGGAGCCCGAGGCATCGGGGAGCTCCGAGGAGGGGGAATCCGAACCGGGCCGAGCCACAGAAGAGCCCAGTTCCAGAGCCTTATCTCAGGGAAGCCAAGAGTCATGACACCCCAGCGCTTGCAAAACACCTCTACTGCCCTCAGCCAAACATCTTACGTCACGCCACCCATCTCCAACCAACCACTGATGATTTGTTTTCTTCTTTTTCATTCGTTTGTCGATTTAATTTATTTAATTTTAAGCGCTCATTTACCCTTCAACATAGAGCAATACATAGATACCTCATTTGGCTACTGCTGCAATTTTGGTTTCTTTTAATTATTGTGATATATTTATTTAACCTTATTTGTTTTGGGGTTTTTTTCTATTGGGCGTTACTAATTCAACTCCGATGCTTTGATTAAAGACTGTAAGGGAATGTGGGGTAGGAAGGAACCCCCTCCTATGGCTTTAAAGTGCCATTTTGAAACATTGAAATGCTCTGAAAGTCATTCGAAACACCTTGAGTATTTAAAGGAGAGGTTTTTACAACCACACCAAGAGACAATGTGTGTGAAACCGAATGCGTGCGAGCGTGTGTGTGTGCCAGTGGTTCTGCAAAACAATCTTCCTCGTGTACAAAAATACAAATGTGAAGAGCCCAGTCCTTTTGCTGCCTCTGAAGACTGTTTACACGTTTCTAACTGAATCATGTTAGTTCTGTGATTATTGCCTTTTAAGCACAGATGTGAAGAACCACTTGTACATTTTATTTTTCGAAACCTACTGCTGATGATCAACAAAATCTGTTGGACTGCAACCCTGTCGACGAGACGCATCAGATGCCATACAAATGCCATTTGTGCTCCATTGCATCTTTCTCTCCCCTGTATTTCAGACAATGTGTTGAAGGAACGTCGCTTCGTGACAGGTGGCAGAGATGAACCCTTTTGACCATGGAAGGAGGATTAATGTCACGGGACATGTAGCTGAACGGACTCTCCATGGATTTTGCTCAGGGTCTCACAGACCTGCTTATTTAGGAGAAACAAGGAAGTAAAGGTGCCTTTTGTAGGTAGCCACCACACCTCTCTTTCTCTCTCCTCTGTATTTTGTAAAGAAAGACAAGTCCTTCTCAGAATGTCTCGAAGCCACTCTCGTCTCTTCGGAAGACTGCTACACAATGCCTTAAAACTATGCACAAAGCTAAGTGACCAAACCAGCTTTCGTTTTCATTTTAAACTCATCGCATTGTCTATTTAGTGCACTGTCTGACCCTTTGCTTTTTTGTCGTGGAGAAACCTTTTTTTAATATATGGAGGAGAATTGGTTTAATGATTTGATTTTTAACATTGAACATTCCATTATTGTGTATTGTTTTGGATTCTGTACAGAATGGGCAGTTGTTTTTGTTTTTTTGTGCTTCTCTTGATATTTGGAAAGAGAAGAGGTGCTTTATTTTAGGTGATTTGTATTTTTGTTGTAAGTGCTGTAAGACTGTTGATTTAAGAAAAAAAAACTGTTTACAGTTTGTTGTAACAGCCATTTTGGGGAGACGACCTATGTGTTAAGCCATTTTGTAAAGGCTTTGCCGTATAACCTTTTGATACATACTTGTTGCAGTTGCATTTTTGATGAATAAAACTTCACAAAATGTTTCTACCGGATGGCATGAGCTCATGCTGTTCTATTTGTCCAAATGTAACAAGTAGAAACCTCATTACAGAAATGAAAAGACACAGATCGACAGTTTCAGGTTTATTCAAGAAATTAAAGTCCATTCAAAACGGTTCTGTAGTGTGAAATTAAATCAACCTATTTAAATAAATTATCAAAATCCATAAAACCAGAAATATCTCCCCGCTAGGAGATTCCCTTCAATTCTGAGGTATACCTCCTATGTGCTGGCCATTAAATCCAGTTAGAAATCTTTGCAATGAGAAATCCTGTACTGTAATATAATGCAAATGCACTGACTGTTGGTGCACAGCAGACATTTTAGGTATATGTGCAAAAATGCAAACCTTTTAAAGGTACAAACACTGTCAAAAATTCTGCTAATAGACTGAAATCGGGACTGGACTAGAGATAACAAGCTTGACGTCATAGACAAACAAAACTACATCATTCAAGTGATTTATTAAACTGGTTAAATAACTAAATGACTTCCAGAACAATATCATGGAAATGTTCCAAAATAATAAATTAGATTGGATTTTAAATGAGCTCTCATTAAATTAGTGAGCAAATACTACTGACAGCACCATCTAAGCCCTATTTATGATGATCACAAAAGTGTGGATCATAATTGCTAACGGTCACATGACAGAAAAACCTGTAGTTACTAAATTTAGTAGCAACTATTAATTGTACCTTTGAAGCAGACACAACTTCTGTGCAAACAGGTGTTAAAAATACACATAAAAGTACTGATAAAGAACAATCTGTACACTTTGGTGTTTTTGTTTAACGTTATCCCTTCAAATGAGAGGAATCTAACAAGGTCGAATACTTGCACTGTTGACATTCAACAGATCCAAATAAATCCACTTATAAAATCATACATAAAACCAAACAAAAAGAATTAATTTCTCAGGTAACTGGCATTGATGATGGAACTGGCTGTGGTACGAGATGTACTGATGGAGATGAACTTTTCAAAGTGCAAATTACATAGATATTCAATTGGGAAACCAGACTGACTGTATAGTGTTTGGCATTTGCATGCTCACCTAAAAGAACACTAACAGCATTTTGAGGGCTAACAAGAAAAGTTAGCCGGTTATTGAAAATGAAAAGTCATCAGGTTAACTACATTAACCTGCTCAGATGAGTAGCTCCATCCTAGCACAGTTTCCTCTTTCCAGTTGACTTTAACATATGTTGGCCAAACTGCAAAAGAAATGGCACAAAATGACTATGGCACTAAAACAAAATACGTGAGAGATCAGTTTTTCAAGAAATAGAATTTCTCTTACCAGTGGTGTTTCTATGTGGGTCTTATTCTCAGTGGCTGGCAAGTTAAAGTTGCCATCACATTCACTGTCACTTCTGTAGCGGTGAGCAAACTTGCGTTTCAGGGCCTCTGCGATTAATGTTGCAGCATCTGTGGGCTCAACAGGTTTTGGTTTCGTGTCCTCTTGATGACTGAACGAAAGGATAATTGAACCTTACTGGTAAGAGATTAGGATGAGGTTTGAATGTCATCAGATTAAGCATTATAACATTTACCTCTTAACGGAACGCAGCTTCACTTTCCCCATGTCTTTCAGTACGTCTAGCATGTTGGGAAGCTCTGGCTTTTTAGGTGCAGAGTCCAGTATTGTCTTCTGCTCTGCCTTTTTCCCACGCCGCTCTCGGATGAGGTCAATGGCAGAATAGCTTCTCTGCATGCCAGGGGCGGGACACGGAGGAGGTGGCGGAGGTGGAACTGGAGTCATTGGTGGAGCTTGGGGTACGGGGGGACCACCTGGCGCTGGAGCTGAAGCAAAAATTGCAACTTTAAATGGGTAAAAACGACCAATACCAAAGTATTTACTAGCAGAGTGCTATTTTATGTCTTTTGCAAGAACGCCAACACTTTGCAAGCAAACGTGTTGCACATGCCTAACGTTAACATTACTGTGGCATATATTTGGGGCATAAAGAACAACTAACCAGTGTTGTTGTTAAATAAAACTAATCAATCAACAAACATTGTAAATAAATATTTTTTTATATGTTTCCATGTACCAAAGTGTGTGGGATTCATTCATTTTTGCGGTTAAATATAAATACAAATATGCTGAGAAAATCTAAAAATATGAAAATCATCTAACAGCGTTTCTGCAGGTTTTGTGAAGGTAAATTTAAGACCTTTTTAAAACCAACTAAAGACAAAATTATGGAATAAATTGAAGGGGACACAAAGAAATTCATCAGAGTTTATGATTAAAAAAAGAACAAATATCTGCCTATAGGGTCAGAAAAAGTATTTTTTCAAAGAGAAAATGTATTAAGGGAAAATCATTATTTTTTTCTTACCCATTGATAGACACTTGTTCTTGTTTTGAGCATAAACCCACTTAATTTTGTTACATTTCTCAGAAAACAAGATTTTATATCTTCATTTTGCATCTCACGTAAATGTATCTTGATTCAAGGAAGTTGAGATTTTCTTATTGGAAAACAAAACAAAAACACTGAGTAAGAATACTTTTTTTTTTTT